TGGTTATAGGTTGGCGATCTAATATGCTACGACGAAATTGGGTACAATGTGCATACCTTTTTATCATTCCTTAAAGATGAAGATGTAAAGTTTTACACCTTCTCATTGACTCTGAAATAATAATTCTTTATGAAGAGGAAAATACCAAAGAGGCAGTGTCAAAAATGTATAGTAAATTATTAAAGGTCTCTCAAATGCAGACTTTAAAATACTTATGGAAGTAGGAGGTTGTGAAAAATATTAGACATAAAAAATAGAACACTTTATGCACTTTAAGGCATAAAGCATTAGGATCTGCCTCTGAAAGTATTAGGGAACGTTCACTGAATGTAATACATGAATGGTATCATAACCCATTTTTCAGCAAAAAGTTTGAGGACTATATCAAAGTTGGAAGGGATGTTACATTGGAATATACTGGCATATATTCCAATGTTACAATAGGTGGAATTGCCCAGAGAACAAAAGCTTTGGGAAAGTAATTTTATGGAGATAAATAAGGTCTTAAGCCCACAAGAATTATGTCTCTTATCACTGCTTGAAGGTTAATATGAAATACTAAAAACATAATTTATGCTGGTGGCTACAAGAATATCTCTGCCCAGAAATCAAAGGAGATTAGTATGTCAATATTCGATGTCTGGTATTCCCAACTGATTTAAATGGAAAAACCTGTAATATACAAAATGCAGGATATTTGGTATAACACTTCTTTTAATCTAATTTGGAAAGATTTTATTCATTTTGCTAAAAATTCAGCATCGGTTAAGAGACATTTGTCCCCAGGCTGAGGAAGGAGTTCTTTGAGATATGGCATGATATATTACCATGAGTGTTCTTAATGGGGAGATACTTCAAAATCCCCTTGTCCAAACAAATTCACACTTTTGTTTCAGAAGAGATTGAAATCATTACCCACATACTGCTATACTGCCATTTCTACAGGGAGATAAGGAATTCTCTTATTTTACTTCTTCTTTGACAGTAGCCAGGATGAGCAGATTCTGATTATAAATATTCTGTG